CCTAAATTAGAGGAGTTAGCTTATATTTCGACAGGTGGCGACGTATGTAGGAGAGACTATGCCATGATCTACCTTTGCTTGGACATTGGTTAGAAGTAGACCTATACTTATTTAAGTATGATGACTTGAGTCAGATCGTGGTATGTAGATTATTCTCCATGAACTTATAGACTTAGCTTGAGATTGGCCTGTCTTGTATTACAGGTCTCCTTGATCGATTGACTCAGGACTTGTGGCTAGATCCAACTTTGATCTTACAAGGATCACCTTCTGTTTTCACTGATAACATGTCGGTCGCCGATTCGTCGGTTTACGACTCGATTCCAACTCGCCCTCCTTACTCAACCTAAAAAGGCTTTAGCCCTGGTGATTTTTCTGTTTCGTTAAGGTTTCACCCATACTTTTATTGAATGGCCATTTAACAGAGGTACTAAGTACTTAATTATGGTTGGTTGGCTGGAGGTTGGGGCTTGCATGGCTAAAGCAGGGGGTATAAGTATGGAGAGTGGTTGAGGTTGACTCTATGTGATATGTGGACCTTGTTGGATTCTTTGATGTGGTTGCAGGTGGGTTCTGTGGTTCGGATTTTGGATTTGACTGCCTGCGATCACACGTATACGTATGGTTGTGAGAAGCCGCACTGTGATTGTGAGAAGTGATCGTCACATATTTACCCCCTTGTATATATATATATATATATATATATATATATATATATATATATATGAGTACCTATGTAGGGAGTTCGCATGGCCCAAAGGGCCAGCGTACTAAGGGTTAAATAAGGGTGGGGTAGGCAAAACCCCCCCGCCTTCCGGTTGTATACTTCTTCTGAGTTCTTAGTCGGACGTTGGTCTTGGGCCGGGATTCGAGGTCCTTATCCAGGACATCCCAAGCCCTAGACTCCGCGTGGAAGGAACTTTCCCCTGCGCAGAGCCTATTTGCCTTACTTGCCGAGACACTCGAACCGAAGGTCAGAGGTCTCGCGGCGGCTGTACGGCTAGTCCTTCAGCTGTGCAATATCGTGAGGGAGTAGACCCTCACGATACTTCGAGTCTGACACCTGAGTGTCATAAAAGATACTCGGATCCATGAGGGACCGCTTGGTCATGGGCACTACATAGTACGCCATCATTGCGATCACTTCCGTACGCTTGAATTGCGAATCGATATGAGTCAGCCCTGCGTCCGCGCAGTTTTATACTAAGTCTCGCGCGAGACGCCTATCCGATTTTCGCATCAAAGAGTTATGGGAAGGCTACCGAGGGACTAGGAGTGTTGTCGCGTTGGGTACGTTGTGTCTTTTGGTGCGTATATTGTGTGCGTATGTGTTTTTATGTTTATGTTTCTTATAGTGGTGTACGCGTGGGGTGTGGGATGCGTCCTAGTCGACCGACGACGGGTCGCGCTTGGGACTTCAGCCCCCCCAAGATGCCGATTCGCGTGCGGGTTCGATAGAGGCGTAATACCGCGAAAACCCCCGATGCTACAGCGAACGAGAAACGCTCTCGGCTGGTCCACCTTTGCGATTGCAACTGAGCAGCTTTCGTACTGTGGACTGGTAGCTCGGCGGGGATACGCCCACGGAAGGGAGGTGACAACTCCCGTAAGGTGGAGGTTAGTCGTGCCTCGTGTAGGCCCTGTCCTGTCGTAGGGACTCGCGAGAGGTATGGCTGGCGCACTCGTCCGGAGCGGTTTGTGGAAGCTCCATGTATATATTCGCAACGAGGATTAGACCGACTTCTGCGTGACGCGGCCGGGAGGGCCCCGCGCTGCCTTTGAGTAGTGCCGGGCCAATGCGCTCGACAACGTAGATGTGTCCGAATATCTATGCACTTGCATACGACAATAGCATCAATAGGCCATCCATTCTTTTTTATTTATTCGGTGCATGGCCGCACGACACAAGGAACAAAAAAGGAAACGCGTCACGCATGCATCTGCCCGCAGAGAAATAACATGTTCATCCGTTTGCTATAACCAGTAAGTTCAGTAACAAATGTATTTTATCACCTCTCCTGGGCAGATGGACTCGTTTCACCGTCATTTCAGTGTTGCGAGGCCTTTATCCAGGGACATCAGTGCCAATTGATGCTCTTTGTTAGTTTGCCGTAAGTGAGGACCAAAAAGAGGTACTACGTCCGACTCTTCCTCTCCTCTCTATGCTCCCTCGCTTCATCCTTTCCCTCTACCGTTCCAAGGAAATGAGGGCATAGTAGTCACACTAGCCCTTTTTCGATAAAGTTGAGGACGGGATTGTAGTCAGATTCATCCAGGTGTAACCATGCTCGCGGTCAGGTTCATTATGCACAATGCTGGTTTGAGTATGGCCTGAGTGGCAGAGGAGATCTCGCGATCATATCGGTGTCAACACCCCCCGATCCCTTACATTGTGCATACTCACGTGTGATGCGGTCAATCACCGACCACTGGCAACCAGCCTAGCCTGGTTAATATGTGTGCATGATGCACGCATCCACGTTGTTGATGTTGATCCATCATGTCATTACCTCGCACTTAACTTCGCGAAAAGAGGGTTGTAAGGAATTCATTTCATTATTTTACAGTGCTGAACTCCGGGCCGCTCGGCGCCCGGCTCGTCGCCCGGGGGGGGGGCCGGGCCGCCTGGCCGGTCGTTCCGCCCGGTTGGCCACAGGGCGACCCCAGCGCATCGACGATGAGTTTTTTTTTTTTTTTTTTTTGTCGCGGGGGGCCTTCTCCCCTTCAAAGGAGACCGTGTGTGCAACAACAAAAAAAGAAAAGGCCATGTAGGCACGATTTGAAAGATTTCAAATCGCGGCCCATCTGCGCCGTCGATCTCCAAGATCGACGACACAAATGGGCCGCGATTTGAAATCTTTCAAATCGCGCCTACAGACCTTTTTTTTTTTTCGCGCTGCATCGACCTTCCCGCCTTACTGCTGCGTCCGTCGTTCGTCGCCTCCGGACCTTCCCTCGTCACTTCGAGCTGTTGCTGCTGCGTCCGTCGTCCATCGTCGACCCTGCTGCGTTCGTCGTTCGTTGTCGCCTTCGGACCACTTGCCCACCCACGCTGTCGACGCCCCCCGAACGCCATCGAGCTGCCTGCCGACACCCCCTGACGCCCCCCGACGCGCGCCACGGTGAGTTGTCAACTTCTACAAGAGAGAGAGAGAGAGAGAGAGAGAGAGAGAGAGAGAGAGAGAGAGAAAAAGATCTTCTTCTTCTTCTTCTTCGTCTTCTTCTTCTTCCTCGCTTTTTCTTCTTTTTCTCCTCCTCCTCCTTTTCTTCTTCTTCTTCTTCTTCTTCTTCTTCTTCTTCTCCTCCCCCTCCTCCTCAACTTGTTGTTCGTCTTCCTCTTCGTCCTCTCATCCTCCATCGCTTCTTCTTCATCTTGTAATTCCTCCTCTTCATCTTCTTCTTTCTCCTTCTCTTCATCTTGTTCTTCCTCCTTCTCTTCTTCTTCTTCTTCCTCTTCTCCTTCCCCTCCTCCTCAACTTCTCGTTCTTCTTCTTCTTCTTCTTGCCCCCCCTGCCCGCCATCAGCGACCAGCAGTTCCGATTTTTTTTTTTTTTTTTTTTTTTTTGCCTCGTGCGCATGCGTTTTGGGCCGCGTCTTGTACACCACCCTTTCTAAGTCCGCGCCATCCATCCTTTCGCGCCCTCCATTTCTCACCCCCCGCCCATCTTCCACCATCATCTTCTTCTTCTTCTCGTCCACCCTTTCGCACCCCCCTCCAATCTTTTTCTTCATCTTCTTCTTCCTCCTCCTCTTCTCCTCCTCCTTTTCTTCTTCTTCTTCTTCTTCGTCTTCTTCTTCTTCTTCTTCCTCTTCTTTTTCTTCTTCTTTTTCTTCTTCTTCTTCTTCTCCTCCTCCTCCTCCTCTTCTTCTTCATCTTCTTTTTCTTCTTGTTCTTGTTCTTCTTCTTGTCCCCCCCCCTGCCCGCCATTCCGCACCACATCGTTTTTTTTTTTTTGTGTCGGTCTACACTGTCTCCCTCTTTTCGCCCACCTAACATACCCATCTTCTTCTTCTACTTCCGGTCGGCCTCCTTGTCTCGCCCAACCTTTATTACCACCTGTCCGCCATCCTCCACCGCCCATCTTCTTCTTCTTCTTCTTCTTCTCCTCCTCCTCCTCTTCTCCTTATGGAGGCTTATTCTTCTTCCTCCTCTTCTCCTCCTCTTCTTCTTCTTCTCACCGTTCTATCTCATCCCCTGACCGCCATCCTCCACCGCCAATCATCATCATCATCATCTTCTTCTCCTTCTTAGTGCCACCTTCTTCTTCTTCTTCTTCTTCTTCTTCTTCTTCTTCTTCTTCTTCTTCTTCACGTATCCCACATACATCGGTATTACATCCCCCATATCCCACCTT